ATACATATCATAAACATTAATTATGATATGATTGATGAGTGAGGTGTCTAGATCCAGTCCAAGACAAACCTGTGTAATTATAATAGTTGTTTAAGACAGTTTAGTCAGATTGTTTTATTCCTGGCGATACCAGAAGGACCATATTTTCTGAGGGAGTTCCTGCTTCCTCATTGAGCCACTTCTTGGTGATATGCCTATGAATTGATTTTATCTTGTAAGTCCAATGTTTATTAAAAGGTTTATTTTGCCGTAGAAACTCTGCACTATTATCTTTTTATTTCTCTCTATATGCTGTGATACTGATATGAAGATATTCTCCAATATATTGATAAGTCTGCAATCAATTGGGGTTTGTGAGTGCATCTTTACAGATTTACATATAACTTTGTATATGGCAATATTGCCCTATGTTTTCTCTTTTTTTGCATTGTAGTAACCGGCTTTCTGGTACTGTGTATTTTCTTTGATTAGGTTGGAAAAGTTGATATTGTAAAGTTGATATGATATGAGAAGAGGAAAGAAATGTGGGAAGGTACTTGGAATAAAACAGACTTTGGAGTGTAGAGGAACGATGGAAGTTATTGTGTGCAAACTCAGCCAGAGGGAGAAGGGCAGCCCAATTGTCCTACAGGTATAAAGTGTCTGATTTACTCTTTGTTTGATCGTTAGTTTGGGGATGGAATGATGCTGAAAGGTAATGTTTGATCTGCAATAATGAAGAAAAGGAGGACCAGATTTTAGAAGTTAACTATGCTACTCTTTATGTGATTATGTCCTGGGAAATAGCATAGAGACTAACGAAGTGAGAAATTAATATTTTAGCAGTAGTGTGGACATCAGTAATTTTATATAGGGCTATGAAATGGGCCATTTTAGTAAGTCGATCCACAATCACTACAATTGCAGTCTTCCCCAAAGATGAAGTAAGGTCTATAATGAAGTCAATACTTAAGGAACTCCAAGGAATATCCAGAATAGGTAGTGGTTGGAGAAAACTAGCTGTTCTTGAATGGGTTTTCTTTTATTCTTTGACAGAAATTGCATTATCTCACATAAGTGTTAACTTGTTTAGACAGCTCAGGCCACCAAAACTGTATTTTAATGAAGGGTTTAGTTTTATTGATTCCAGGATGACCAGACATGGGATGGCCACGAGATAAGGCAAATATTTTTTTTTATTAAAGTGGGGAGAATGTAAAGTTTCCCATCCATGAAATATAAACCATCATTGTATGTAAGTAAGGGTTGATGGGAGTGGAACCGAGTGAATCCAATCTTTTGATTTATTTGGTGAAAGATGAGATGGAACAAATAAAGTGAGGGGGTAATTACAGGAGAGGAATCAGGGGGTGGACCAGGCCTAAGAGATCGGGAGAGGGAATGTTCCTTTCCATTTTTTGAGCTAGGCCTGTAGTTCACGTGGAAATTAAACCTATCAAAAAATGGACTACCTGACTTTAGACTTTTTGTGGTTTTTATTCAGTGTTTTTAGGGTCAGTGTATATCAAAAAAGGGGACAGAGTACCCTTAAGGAGATGTCTGCATTCATCCATTAATGCTTTATTGGCAAGCATTTTGTCTTCTCCAACAGAATAATTCCTTCAGGGGGGTGTCAATCATTTTTGAGAAATAGGACACTGGGTGAATGTCAAATTTTTTTTTTGAGAAAGGTTAGAAGCTACCGTATGTTCAGATACATCAGCTTTTAAAATATATGGAAGAGAGGGATTATGAATGTGTAAGATTGTTGTAAACATTTTCTTTACAGATTTAAAAGAATCAGCAATCTGAGACCATGAAAAATAGATATTTTTAGTAAGATCTGTTAGAGGTTAAGGGATTACTAAATAACTTTGTATAAAGCATCTATAGAAGTTGAAAAAAAACAAAAAAAAAACCTTTTTGGATTTGTGGGTAGGCCACAATAGTATATATTCAATGTTGGATTTACCCACCTCAACTGAAGATGGTATAGGGGTATAATCTAAAAGAATACAGTTAGTGTCAAATATACATTTTTACACTTTTGCTTACAATCCATGTGTCCTTAAACAAGATAAGACATTACATACTTGTTTTCTGTGGTGTGGAAAATGTGGTGAGTAAATCAAGATATCATCTAAATAGATAGCGACATAAACATCAAGTATATTTCTAAATACATCATGGATAAAATGTTGAAATGCCAAATCTCGAAACGCATGACCAAATACTCATAGTGTATGTATCTGGTACAGAAAGCATTTCCCAATACAGTATGGAGAAAGAAGGTGAGTTCCTAGGTTTACTAGTTGACTTTTGGATTGTGGTTTAAAAGCCATGGGAGACCGAATACTATAGGATATATAGAAGATTGCACATTATCTGAATTCTAAGTTTCTAGATGCTCATTGTTAATCAAAAAGATTTGCTTTGTAATTGGTCTAGATGGCAAGGGTTTTCCATCAAATAATAGTACATGGTGGAATAGATAACCAATTAACAGTTTTTTCAGAGAAAAAAACCCACTAGCGCCACTGTCTAGAATGACTTTTAGTGGATGAATTTGGGCATTAGGAATCACTTCAATATTTATGCAAAAAGGATTAACATAAGTAGTAAGCATGGGGATTAGTAAACCTTGTGCAGTTTTACCATTCTTAATTAAACGGGACAGGGGACATGCAAATCAGAACAGTATAAGCACAACTTGTTATCCCATCTTCTTCTCTTTTCATTTTCCAAAATAGGAGATCTTGTTGCTCCTATTTCCATTGGTTCTTTCTTTGGACTATCTTGGGTAAGAGTAGAGGGGGATCTTTGTTTGAGAATCGGACATTTCCAACAACCTAAAAAGGATTTTTTTTTCTGCTCTGCTTTCCCTGAAATATCTGTCTAGTTGTACAGACAAGTCAATAAGATAATTTAGTCCTCCTGGGATCCCAGTACGGGCTAACTCATCATGGAGGAGTTCAGAGGGGCCCATCCAGAACTAAAACATGAGAGCTTTCTAGTTCCACATGGTTTTATTAGACCAGTGATGGAATGCAGCAATATAATCCTATACATGTTGTTTCCGTTGAGATAGATGAGTGCTCGCCATTTCTAATGTGGAAGTTTTATTGGTATCAGCATATAACCGTGAAAGGGCATCTGGAGATGAGAGTCAATTATAGGATCATTATTCATCAGCAATGAATGAACCTATTTTGCTGGGTCTCCCTGTAGTAGAGAGATACTTGTCCTGACTTTGATATGGTCTGCATTTTAAGCCAAGGGGTTTAAAGAAAACAACAAATAGCATTCACTTAAAAATGTCCTGAAGTGGAACCTTTGTCCACTTAATTTGTAAGGTAAAGCGATATTAGGTTCCATAATAGGAGATGTGAGTTGTCTAGAGGTTTGGAGTTGGGTTTGGAGATCCATCTGTTTGATGTGCAGTTGCTGAATAGTTTGTGCAAAACTGTCTAATCTCTCATTGAGTTTATCCAGCATCTGGGTAATAGTAGCTTTATCCATCTTGATATTATCATGCCAAAAAAATAAATATTTTCTTTTTCCTTCTTTTTAAGGCTTGAATATTCTATCCATCTCACATGAATTGCTATAAAAAAAGGAAAAAAGAACATTTAGAGTTGATTTGTGTTCTTTAATTGTTTATTTTTCCAGTAGAAAAAGCACCATTTAGTAAATGAGTAAAACAAAGTTTTATTAAATAAAAAGCTTTCCATCTTAGAAGAATCAATAAGAGCAAAAAATGAATACTTTTCTAAGCAGATTCTGAGCAGATAAACAAATATTATAATCATTAATGTTCTTTGTATTTACCAACAGGTTCAGTTCAATAAGAGAGAGGTGTCTAAATCCAGTCCAAGTCAAAGCTGTATAAATATGAAAGTTGCTTGAGACAGTTTATGGAGTTCCCTTTTTGGTCTGTCAGTATAACCAGTCTGTTTTTCATTTTCTTTTTTATTCACAGGTTTCCGATCGAGGTACAGGTATGGAGTATCCGAGAAGAGAAGGCAAGGTTCACTTGCTGAGGTCTGAGGTGATTTACTGGAGTGGAGAAACCAGTATGAGTAGCTGAGAACATGAATCATGTTATCAATAAGGAACACAGGAATCACTAGTGATGTGTAGCAGGTGGAGCTGCTGGAGATAAGCAATAATCAAACACAGAAGACTTAATCAGGGAAACTTCTCTGTTTAAATAGGAACGAAGAGGTGTTCATTTTTAAAGGTGCACTGTTACATAATTAGTATACTTAAAGAAACAGAACAGAAAAAAATTGAAATAAGAAATATAATAATAAAAAACAAGACACATTGATAGACTTGGATATATGTATGTAATGATGTATAGCAGGCATTGTAGTTACAATAGTGTATGGATGTTGGAGAGCATTTTGTTATTTGGCATTTTACAGTATCCATTGATAATTTGAAATTCAGAATATAACTTACTGTAGCATTATAGAACATAAAATTTGCTCTCAGTACCTTCTAGCACTGAACTATTTCATAGTCTATTTAATAGTAGTAATTGGTATAATCAGGAATCAAACTCAGTCAACAGTTCTAAAAAGGTTAAAATCGTATTATAGGGGGGCGGAGCCAAGCAGCTAAGCTGAGCGGTTGTGCCAAGCTTCAGCTCCTGCACAAATCAACAAATTGGGGGAAAATCACCCCAAAAACAGCACAAAAGCACACCAGAGTGGAGCTAGTGAGTCGGGGACACCCGGGTGAACCCTCAGACACTGAAACCAAGCGTGTGACCCACCGGGACCCTGCATTACAAACCTGAAGCCTACCGGAGGTCGAGCTGTGGAGAGACGGCCGCTCTCCAAGCAGACTGACCTAAGTATGGATCCCTCGGGGCTCCCAACTCCTACCCCCCACCCCCTACAGACCGATGGGGGTTATCACGGTCCACAGTGGGCAACAGGCGAGGCGGACACAGACTGAACCTGCAGCCTGAGAAACCGCAGCGACGAAGCGGCCAAGCACATGGCGTGCCCAAAATGGCGGCAAACCTACCAAGCAAGCAACACTGCACACACGAGCCGGAGGACTTCGGCGACATACAGCAGCGTCTAAATGCAAGTTTTGCCCGATTCTGGATGAAGTTGCTGGAAAGGATGCAAACACCTAAGGCAAAATCACAAACCCTACCCTACAGGGGTGAGCGGAACCATAAGCGCAGGGTGAAGAGAGAGACACCCTTGAATAACATGGCGGCAAAACGGCAGCATGTAAGTGAGACACAACACATGCCACCCAACACCAGGCACCCCGAGCACCACCTAGTCTCACAGAAGTCCCACTCATACAAGCGCCCCAAGCAAACTCCCCAGGCTCCCCGCCTGCGCACAGGCATCAGACACCTGAACGCACAACACCGCGCCCTAGGCCTGGGGGACTGGACGAGACTCAACTCAGCATTGCACCCACATAAGAGCAGACAGCCGACACAGCATGGGGAAACCCACGTCAGCACCCACAGAACACCCTGCAACCGCCCTGGGTTTGCCAAGCAGACACAAGAGGTACATTGGATCCCTGGGACCCGGCTGCAGGTGCTGAGATCTGGAATCGGCTAGATGACTACCTTGAACCGGCTGCAGGAGCCTGGTGCCTGCTTCGAGTTCCACTGGGACACACTTATTATCCTTACCTACACTGTGGACAAGTTTAAACACAGATAGTACAGGACTGTATCTGCAGTGAAAGAACAAAGTGTTCCCTGACTTTAAAAATATTTAATTTACTGTTTTTCTTTTTGTTGTTCTGCTTCTGCCTCATAGCCGTAAGTACATCATACATGCAAAGCCAGCCCCATTGTCGCTCACTAACCCCCAAATCCAGTTACCGCTGTGTACTGGCAAGTTAATTTGACTCTCCACTCTGTTAACGGGGATGGGGGGCGCCACTGGGGACCAAACAAGCTCATGCTGAGCCTCTCCGAGTTTAGTCTCACTACCGGTCAACCACCGATAGCCCAATACACATGCCTTTGTAACCACCAACCAATAGCATTAATGATGAGAAGGGCTCCAGCTATCTGTAAGTTCACTACCCATGCATAGGCAGATATATTAGCCTGTTATGAAAAGGTTCAATCCAGCATGGTACTACTCTAAGCTAGTCGTGTCAATTTCTTTCTTACAAACCTCTTGCTCTGACCACTCACAATAACTAATCTACTGACCTACTCCGCAGTACTCGAACGTGTAAAAAAAAAATAAAAATTAAAAAAAATGTGCCGATACAACTACTGAACAGAGCAGCGCAGGTTTATTATATGTTTAAGCTACAAAATCAGTTTATGTTTAATCAAACACAGTGACACTAAGGTAAAGCCTAGAACAAATGTGAATCCTGTTAGTGATACTGCACTAAACCGGCTACAATATTAGCTAGACCCGCTAAACGTTACTCATACTAAAAGTACAGTCTAACTAGATATATGACAAGCTACAGTTATTCTACTAAATATGTGCCGACCACGTGTTCATATCATTGAGATTTATAATTCTGCGTGTTATACAGCTTGACTATAACTACTTACTAAAAATGTTGTGCTACGACTTTAAATGTCACAAGAATGTACAACAATGTTATTAATGTGCTGGCATGGGCCGTTGTGGCTCTGTAAGCCGTCTTGTTATCTCCTGCACAATGAAAAATAAAGAATTATAAAAAAAAAAATCGTATTATAATTAAAACATAAATGGGTAATTTATTCATGGAGAAAATTGAAAATACAAAACATTGAAATAACTATTTGGTAAGAGAATAACATTTTTTAAAAATAAATTTGATAAGAAAATGTATAAATAACAACTCTTTGGAACTGTAACATGGGCAAAATGCTTTGCTTGCTTTTTTAAATTGTGTATGATAAAACTGAAATGCACACTTAAGTCATACTCTTAATCAAGAAGATTTGGTGTATAGAATATGAGCCAGCAGTCACACTGTTCTCAGCTGTTTAGGATTTAAATGTTTGTTTGGTTTTATGCAGTCCTGGCAAACCTACAATGGGTGTGACTCACACAGCCTTAATAAAAAAAAAAAAAATTCAATAAGATCTTAGCTTCTTTAATAGCACAGTGTGTTTAATATAGATTTTCTGATATGATCTTCTGCTCTATTCACTGAACTTTAATCACATGGGAGGCTATTATAGGCACTAGCAGGCTATTAACATAGCAGGAGATAAGAAACTCTAAATTAAACACACTGTACAATAAGGGCAACTAAAACATTTAGACTCCTTTTGGGAAGTGTATAGAGACTGTTTGTGTCACAGTCGAATAAGGCATGCATAAACAAAATTATTTAACTCCTAAATGGCAGAGAGTTTATCAGTAATAGAGCAGAGGCATGGTCTATATGCCAAAACAAGGTTAATTAAGCTAAAGATGTCTTGGTACATAGAGTGTCACTTTAATTTCAAAACCAGTTTACATTTCTCAGGCTAAAATAAATAATTACAAATAAGAAAATAACAAAGATGCAGGTGCACAAGAAAGATAAATGACAATCTGTTACTTTAAGAATACACAATCTGTGGGTGTGGCTTGGAGCTCGATCGGCATGGACGCACGCATGTGAGGCTCCTGCAGCACTAGGGACGGAGCACAAATAAACGGACTACAAAGCACAAAATAAAAGCATACACAGACCCACAATGTCCCAGAGACAGAGACAAAAAGCTGCCAAAGCAGAACGAGCGTCCTTTTTTCTGGCCAGATCCGCCGCAAAGAAACCGCGGGAAACCGGCGGCTCGATCCAAGATGGCGGCGGAGATCGCACCCGCGAGGGACCCATCTCACCAGCGACATCTATCACCTCCCTAACAGAGGAACAGCCCCTTACCACAACCTCAATGAGGCTCATGCTGGCCGAACTAGCCGACAACTTCCAGGCTACTATGAAAAAACAACTGCAAAACCTGGCAACAGAGTTAAGGAAAGATGTTGCAGACATAGGCCAGCGCACAGCCCAAATAGAGCAGAAACTTGATGACTGCACAGATGCTCACAACTACCTGGCTGAAAAAGTGCAGGAATACGAGACACACCTAATTAGCCTAAAAACAAAAGTGGCAGACCTGGAAGACCGCTCCCGGAGAAACAACATCCGGATAAGGGGCATCCCTGAAACGGTGCTGCCGGCATGCCTCGGTGACTACCTCCAAGATATGTTCCGAGCACTCGCTCCAACAATACACCCAGACCAGATGGTAGTGGACAGGGTGCACCGTCTCAGACGGCCACAACACATGCCGCCCTCCACAGAAAGAGATGTCATCGCACACATACACTTTTTCCACGTGAAAGAACAGATCATGAGAGTAAGCAGAACGGCAGGCATGCCGGACCCATATGGACACATCAAAATTTTTGCCGCCTTATCAGCAGAAACATTACAGTACAGGAAAAGTCTGGCCCAGATCACAGCCACCCTGCGGGAGAAGAACATCGCCTACAGGTGGGGATACCCGGCCAAACTACTGATCCACCATAAATACCTAACGCGGAAACGGGGCTCCTTAAACTCAAGGACTGGGGTATACAAGTCACAGAGAGGATGGAACAACACCGCCAAAAAATTCCCCAGAATAACAAGAGACTGGTCAACCACCTGAAGGTGACAAGCGGTTACCAACCCATGAGTATACCACTAGAGACTTATGATGACAAGAGTGTAAGTTTGAAGTAACCAATTCATTATGTTCCCCCTTTGGCTGTTATACCCCGCATTATCAATTATATGTGCCCAAAGTTACAGGTTCAGGGGTTGGTTCATAGGACCTCTGGGGCACAAGCCCTAGGGCCACCATCTTGGAAAGCCACTGGTTTAAAACCCGGGAAGGCGCCCACTATATTAATGTTACAATGCTGTGATCCCACTGCTGCAACCACGGATGAGTCACTGGATTACGGTCAGGCTCATACACCCACCCCCAACGAATGTGACCAGGATTCTCCCGGCACATATCGGCCCTGAGGAGGAGTCCTTTAAGGCATACTGCCTAATTGTTTGTTCTACACCCCCTATGTTTTTCTTACCTTCTGATGTCCCCTACCCCCATGCCCCACAAAGCATCAAAAGACACCAATCACCACCCCGTAACCACGCAGACCCGAAGGCAACCAAACTAATTACCACAACAGATATGACCACAATTAGATTCAGAGACCAACTAGAAATTAGTCTCATACAACATAAAAGGGTTAAACACCCCGGGTAAACGGAGGCTACTACTTAAAGACCTCACGAAACACCGGATCGATATAGCATGTATCCAGGAAACACACTTTAGGGACAACCACACCCCGGCAATATACACGAAGGTGTACCCCACTCAGTTTCACTCCCAGGCCGCCACCAAATCAAGAGGGGTAACAGTTCTTATCCACAAAGATGTAGCAATTACCATACACCAACAGAGCATAGTCCCGAAAGGCAGATATATCATACTAGTGGGCCAGTTTAACAGCATCCAACTTACGCTGATAGCCACATACGAGAAACAGGGACAATACCTGCAAATGTTGCTCAACAAAATTGACAGGATTAAACAAGGCAACATAATCTTATGCAGGGACTTTAATTGCATCCAGTCACCCACACTAGATACGACAGCCACCCCCACGGGTAATAGTAAAAAGAGGATGGCCGCTACCAGCAAACTATTCACTAAGCTGATAGACAATTATGACTTATACGATGCATGGAGGGCACTACACCCAGAGGAAAGGGACTACACCTTCCACTCAAAGGTTCATAACACATACAAACGCATAGACGCAGTCTTCCTGGATAGGCCGCTCCTGGCACAACTCAAGGAATGTACAATAGGGGAAGTAACATGGTCAGACCATGGACCGGTGTACCTAGATCTCCTTGATGCCTACCAATTCAAGGGGAGGGGGACATGGCGACTGAATGACTCACTATTACTGAACCCAACCTTTGTGCAGGAGAGCAGGGAGGCACTCCAAAACTATTTTGCAACTAATGTAGGAGAAGGGGTCTCGGACACCACAGTATGGTCAGCGCACAAAGCAGTCATGAGAGGGATATTCATCAGAAGGGCATCCTTCCTGAAACGGCACCACCAAACCACACTCCTAGACTGTCACAAACAATTGGCACTAGTATCCAAACAAAACAAACAACAACCCTCCCCAGCACTGGCAACACAACTACAAAAGCTGCACACAAGACTAAATGAACTAAACACAGAAAAAACAAAAAATTTACTCTATAAATTAAAAGCAAATGTCTACCACAATGGAGGTAAAGCCAGTAAATACCTAGCCAATGGACTAAGAGCCAGATATGCCAACACAAAAATCACAAGAATCACAGGGGCAGACGGTAAACCACATCACACGCCAGCGGACATCAGCAAAGAATTCGCTGAATTCTACTCCAAACTATACAATCTACAATCACTAGACACCACACACAGGACGAGCCACACCGACATAGACGACTATCTGAGACAAACCAATCTCCCCCAAATATCTCAAAACCAAAAAACAAACCTGGCAAAACCCATAGAAATACAGGAAATCCTGAAGGT